TGGGACAGAATTTCCACAAACAATTCTTTAATCTGTAGAAGATTCTGAACGGGGCTGTGTTCATCTAACCCAACTATGTAAATTCACAGATGAACACTCAAAGAACCAGAGATAGAGATAAGTGTTAGTATTACTTATCCCTTATAAATGCTCTTGTTTGGCCTTTTTTTCTTATCCTGTATAGTCAGCCATATGCTAGAAGCTTTCCTTAAAACCTACTGATGTTCTCTATGAATCCCAAGACTTTGTGCATATCTGTAGTCCAGTTTTCTTGACTGTGAACTGCTGTCTTTCATTCAAAGCCAATTTGCGTTTCCAACCAATACCTTTCTTTACAACAAATGTTAATTAACTGCAATTAGTGGCAGAGATGGAATGTTTCACTGAAAAGGGTGTGTAGGCAAAGGAGAGAAAATAACACATTCGTTCATTTTCCCACAATAGAAGTGATGAAATAAAGTGTCTCAAACCTCCTAAAATCAGCTTGAATGAAATCAAGTGAGCGGTTAAGCTGTTAGTCGCCAAACTTCAGTAACACAAGATCAACCTGTCAAATGAGTCATAACAGTATTCATGTTGATAATGGGCTGATGTTATCATAGCTATGGTTGAGATTATCATACACACAGACAAACTCTGTAAGCCTGGCATACAACTTTGGTGCCTGTCCCACATAAAAAGTCTGGTATTTTGTAGGGCACACCTACAACCAGGTAGACTTAAAGGCATGCAGGAGATACAGCTCCAACCTCTGGTGCCCAAACAAGGAAATGTAAGGATTGAAACTTCAGGCTGGTTTAATTTAACGCTGCTTCCCCAGTAGCCAACCAGACCTTCTAGGAAATTAAAAAGCAGGATATGAAAATAATAGTCATGTTCTGGTCCCACAATAACTGGCATTGAGAAGAAAATGGCCTCTCAATATCAACCCCAAAGGTTAATTTAGTCCCCATGATGTATCCTTTACAAATTTGTCAAATGGCCTTTTAAGGGTACCTAACTTAGTTGCTAGCAGCACTTCCATACACCCTCACTTTAGATGTTTTCTCCATCTTGTGCAGCTGTACAGCATTCACAATATTTCAGATGCAGGCTCCATATAAATTCCAGTAAAAACCAATTTTCTTATTTTTAATTCTCTTCCTAGCCAGCACTGATTGATTTGATTTGAAGGATATCAGGTGGTGTCTTGGCTCCAGTCTGCTGTCCATCTCAATCCACCAGCTGGGCCAGTCCATTTTTAAGCATCATCACTAAAAGCAGCTGCAAAGCCTTACCCTTTCCCAGGGAGCCTGCTAGATGGCACTAGCACAACACTCTGGAGGATGCTTCATCTCACAATAACACTTCATCCCCATCTAGTGGCATAATGCTGGGAATTTATTACTGGGACATTTATTTTTGCAGACAAAAGATCGTCATTGCAATTCAGTACCAATAACTTTGTTCTTTTTCATTTTCTAAAATACCCCCCTCCTCACAATCCGTATGTTTAGAAATGTTTCCAGTATACTCGCTTTTTCATAGAGCTAATCTAGGAGAGCCAGTGCAGTCCAGGGGTTAAGGCATTGGATTAAGAGAGGGAGATCCAGGTTCCAGTCCAACCTACATCCCAGGATTGCTGTCATGGGAAAATGGGAGGGGGGCGTGTAGGTATGCCACTTTGAGCTCCTGAAGGAAAGGCAAGATAAGAAACTAGGTATGCCACTTTGAGCTCCTGAAGGAAAGGCAAGATAAGAAACTAGGTATGCCACTTTGAGCTCCTGAAGGAAAGGCAAGATAAGAAACAAATATCTTGAGTGGTTTGTATGTAGGAAAGGGTCATTAAAGTGAATTGGGAGATGGAGGCGGCTTAACAGGTGAATGGCTTAATGACTTTAGCCCTAAGCAGCACAATACCTTGGGCCAGTTCT